TTTATCACAATGAACATTTTTTTTATTATGTTTGTTAACAAAAATACAAACAAACTGAAGAAACGAGAAGAACATTGATGTCAAACTAATGCGCATCCTCATTTATCCTGATATTTTTGTGTGTGAAATCTACGTCTTTTAGTCTCAAAACTGCATATTGTGGTTTTCTTTTATGTACTGCGTTATGACGTTTTGTGAAAAATATTTACGTGATGAAGAAAAATGGATATCATTTTCGGATTCAGCGTAGAAGAATTACTGTAGACATGTAAAAAATATCAAGATAATATAACCACAATCCAATTGGGCGTTTGTAACACGCAAAAACATTTAACTGCTTAATATATTACAACATGTAAACAACAGCGGCATTGAAAGGTAATTTAAGGGTTAACTAAAGTTGGTAAGATCCGCTATCTAATGGTTACTCGACTAGAAAATCTTTTATAATCCCAAAGTAAACGAGATAACAAATTTGTTTATTTTTATATGTTTATAACGTAAGTAGTTTGAGGTAAGTAGGGCGAGAATAAATTTGTATATTTTGTGGAGTGTTCACTAAAATAGTTACAGGAAAGTAGATTACTAAATATAATATGAGATAGAAAAAACTATAATTTAGCCACACATAAAATTAAGTTGCGAATTAAATCGATTCAGATTATCATAAAAAAATCATTCGCTAATAAGATCGAACAGTTAGGAAATCAAGCTCATAGTTGACCCACTGAGGACCGACCATTTGTATTGTACATAAGCAGTCATCAGAGGACAAACCACTAACCCTGTTGTTTCAATAAACTGCAGCGGAATACAAAAGCACCGAGAAAACAACCGTTGAGAAAAACCAGTAGTTTCTTCCTAAGCAATAAATGTTGCCGCCCTACAAATGAACAACCAAGCCATTTAACTAACACAAACATGTCTTGATCTTTGAATGTTGTTTTGGAACCTTATGTATGAGGTAATGATTTTTTATTTTTACTACTGAAGCTAGTTACAAACTGCTGAATGATCTCCATCTTACCGTAAACGTGTCACTGAGAAACCTTCCTTCAACATAACCAGCTGTGCGAAAGTAATTAAAGAACAAGATAGGAAAGTTTGGCTTTTACACCTCAGAGGCCTTGTGATTTATAGCGTATAGACAGATTTCTTATCCACCAGATTTTGTCTTCAGTCATCTGTCTCCAGATAATCCTATGCATTTACTTGGATGAAAAGTACATACCACAGTAAAAACGACATTGTAAAAGAAATAAATTCTGTCTAAAAATGTAACTTCACGACATAATATATATATACGCGTATTATCAACGATCAGAAACATAAAACAGATTTGTAAAAATATTATTCGATTTTTATTAGTGCTTTATCATAAAATTTCCACGATATACACATGACAAGTATATCAATTCTGAATAAATTTCAGAAGATACAATTTTAAAGGGGTATAATGGCCAATACGTTTTCGTATTTATGGCAAATCTACTAAGGCTATCTTCCGTTGTCCATAATTTCAAATTACTTACCAAAGGGGAAGGCAGCTAGCTATTCAGCAGTACGCTTCAACCCATCGTCAACGCTTATAACGCACCCACAGCACGCATTCGAACCCTGCTCGTCAGTACCGAAAATCAGAGCTCTACCAGAGGGCATATTCAATATAGTCTGATCTAAATAACGCCACTTTATTTGTCATTAAGTGTGGGTTTAATTTTCGAGAAAAGTGATCATATGTAGTAAAAAATATTTCTATGTCAAACGTGTTTCTTTTTGGGGGTGGGGGGTTGGACGAGGGGGTAACGCCATTTATAAATCAAACTATAATGCAAAATAACAATAAAAGAAGAAGATCCACAATTTTAAAATCCACTCAGTTGTAACAAATATATGGAAGAGATACGTGGTTGTGTTTTGAGAAATAGTCATCAATGCATAACAACTGCAGCATTTTGAAGTATTTTCAAATACTTAAATAACGATAATATTTATCAGCCACACACTGATAAATGCTGGCTAATAAAGAAAAACTTAATACTAAATAATGAATTAAATTCCTATTAAAAGAAGAAGAATTTTAAAAGTCTGCTGTTCTAAAGTTGCCTATTTCGTTGAAAGATTTTCTGTCTGTTCAGCAACTCTGAGTCTTATTGCATAACAAGGTAAACAAGACCATTTCTTTCTCTCTTCCCACTTATAATATAACTCCTTCATCTCCATTAGTGTTGTATGACTGTGTAATTAATGCACTCGATCAGAGTAGTAACCCTGCTGACCTCTGGGTAACTTTTTCTTCTCTTCATTTTAGCCTTCCAATTCCATTAGGACAGCCCATCTTCAAATATGAAATTATGCTTATTAACACGTTTCAAACCAGGACAATCGAAAATTATTTCCGCACTAATTGTCAATAGGATCATTACCGACTTATCTGTATAAATAATTCTTATACTTTACCGACAGGCACACTCCTCATCTTAACCTTTTATTTGTGTGTAGAGAGGCGATTAACTATCTTTTCTAAGCCAAGAAGTCAGCTAAAGTTAGTACTGATTTGTTAGGATCCTTCTCTTAAAACAGTCGTTAAATCTCCTCTGAAACTAGGTGTTTTGGTTTTATGTATTATAAAAAACGGTGCCTGTATAACCAAAAAAAAGTCTAGAATCCTGATTATTATACATGTTACAGATGTTAGCAAATACTTCTGAACTGACTGAAAAAAAAAAACTGAAACGTAATTACAGGAAGTTTAATAAACTCTACCACAGAGACAGCACTAAAAATACACATATTTTTGTGCAAATAAAGTTTATTTCTTAAACAAAAATTTTGTTGCTTTTCACCGAATTCTCTGGATCTGGCTTATGACAGAATATACTATCCCCCTCCCTATAAGCCTTTCTTGGTTAAATGAAATATGGTAGTTCATGTTAGCTACCAATTGTTAGATGTACAACAGAATGTTTATTCACGCCTTTGTGAAAATTTCACTAATAAGGTAACAGGATCTCATCATATTTACAATCGCTGCAAAACGAAATTCATAAAACATTGAGGATTTTCGAAAACACTCCAGGAACAAAGTAATGCCTTGCACGTTGACGTTCCCTACCAATCTTTACATTCGGTTATCTCTTGGGTCTCAGCTTGATGTACTCTCGTAACCGTTGGTTCTTAAATACTATCAGATATTAACTACTATAGGCATAGAATTGTTATACCATTAATTTCGTGAAGCTATCGCATTTATCATAAACATTTTGATTATATTCATACACATAGTCAGAAGAATTACTTTCCCTAACTTCCATTAATTACTGATTGCAGCATCTACTTAACATAAACTTCTACTAAGAAAAAAGAAAGAAAGAATTATGGAGTGATCGTACACTTTCACGTTTTTTTTTAAAAAAAGCATTTGACTTACCCTTAATCCCACAGTTTGATTCTTCTAAGTTATCTGGCCAAAGTCCTTTGGATCCATCAAGCCTAGGGTCTAAAGCAGAGCGCTTGTAGATAACGTGAGGGTGCCTTACGTCCTCAGAGAGGTCGTGACTTTTGACCGGCTCGATAAGGTAATCCTCATCTTCTAAACGAATAACTCCTCTCTACCATGAAAAAAAAACCAAAAAAAATGCCATAAGGTTGACCTTATGCACTCTGTGTTATAAAAGAAAAAACAAAAACAAAAACAACAACAACAAACAAATATAGCAATGTATAAGTTTGGAGACAGTTTGAATGGGTAATGGAAGAAAACTTAAATAGAGACAGTGAAAGGAAAAAAAAACACTAAGAAAACAGAAGAGTAAACCCGGTATACAGCGTAAGTGTTTCTCATCCCTAACCATGTTAGACAACCGAAAGAGGATCGGTTTTCAACTCTTGAATATTTAAGTGGTCTAGTTCCCAGTATTCTGTTGAACAACAACATTAACTCCGAAACCACAACTTGGCCTGAGGGATTCAAACATACATTACACAGAAACCGCACTGGTAATCTTGAAAATTACGCCAGGAGATCATTATAGTGTCAAGGACACTAATATATATATATATATATATACATACGTATTCAGTATATGAGGAAAAGGAAAAGTATTCGCGTTCTCGCACACACGCAAATGTGTATTTCAAGATCAAATACTGGCTGATTACACATAAATACAAGAAATATACACAGTTAATTATATTCAGTTCCATAAAGTCTCAGTCGTATGTGCAACTGAGCACTTCACTGTATGTAAAAAAAAAAAGAAAAAGATTGCGAGTCTAGACTTTTAAGACGGCCTGAAAAAAAAGTTATTACGTAACCGTTTACCCCATATCATGAGTAAAAAGTATTAAATACACTTATTTCTGTTAGTAGCAGTTATTTAGTTGAGTAAAAACCATTAAATCAGCTCTTGCACAGTTTCGTAAGACTAGAAATACACAGTATATACAATACACCTTTGCTGTATACATATATGTCTGTATGAAAATATTTATAGGTTAACAAATATTTTATGTAGGAACTAACAGATCTACAGTAGGTGATAACCATTAGTGTAAAAGACGAACTTGCTAAAATATTAAAGAAATGTGTTTTTAAATAATAACTGATGTATATTATCTCATGTTTTAATTATATATGTCTTACTTTTTGAAGCCCCAGTGGCGCAGCGGTATGTCTACTGACGTACAACGCTAGAAACCGGGTTTCGATACCCTTATATCAGTACTAAATTAGAGACGACTAACGCAGATAGCTATCGAGTAGCTTTGCGCGAAATTCAAGCCAAATCAAACCAGAAACAAGCGACATTGCGTAAAAATTATAAAACAACTTGGCGCCGTTAAAACGGATATGGATGTTAATAATTTATTAATCTATAAAACCTATCCAAACTAATAGCCTTGGAGACATGGGTTTCCTTATTTCCTCACCAAACATCTTTAATTAGATGAACTTCCCCTTCGAAATGTGTTACGTAAGGTTATGTGATGACGTACTCGACAGTTTAATAACTTCCTACATGTGTATTACTCGGTAGAGTAGGCTTGCCTCTCCTGTGTTTCTACAGTTTCATTTGTTATCTTTGACAAGCATGTGTAAAAGTAAAAAGGCATAAATACGTCACTTTCTCATATCCATCCAATCTTATCTGTTATTCTTCAATACACACCTGATTTGGAATCACATCTCAAGCTTAAAAGTTAAAAAAAGTAGTTATAATGAACTAACTTTTAAGAAATTGATTCTACTTATATTTTACCAGCTTCTATATGTCGCTTTAAAAATCAGGTGCTATTATTGCTCAAAATATAGCCACTTAAAGCTTATGAAAGGTTGTCAGTGCGGGTCTTTAGAATCGTTTTCTAATAGAACAATGACTATAGTATGTAACCAGGAGCTCTGACAAGTGGTCTTGCGAGACTCTGGAGAAAGACAACTGTGTTTTTTTTTCTTTGTGTGTGTGTTCTAAGAATTAAAGGGGAAGAAAAAGAGTTAGAAGTACGTAACACTGCGAAGGTGGGTTAGTGACGTATCGTGTTGTCAGTCACGTCAATGATACAGACTTTCGCTGTAGTAAGTAATATTCCTGGAAATTTACCGTGTCCAAAAACATTCAGGATTTTCATGGAATCACCGTATACAAATCATTGTGTACAAAGACAATCAGGGATTTATCGTGTAAAAAGAAAATTAACCTGAAAATTAATCAGGTTCAATGTTGTCACCCAAGTTCAATGGCGATCCAACTGCCGTGACTTTTCCCGAAACCCCCTGACACTTGCTCCGAAAAAGCGCTTATTTTTAGCTTCAACTACTAAGCATGGGAAGGCAAGAGGGGACACTTGTCTGCCCTCCCCCCTGGAAAATGAGAAACATAATTCTTTCTTTATTCATTCAGCATATGTACATGAATATTTTATTCAATTGACAATTTCACGCAACTTTACCCTCCCCTGGAAAAATTTCTACTGACGCCCATGCTACCAAGCAACAATTAAAAAGATTAACAGTAAACGAACTAACAAATATCGGTGAAATATCATATACAAACCTCAACTAAACCTAAGAATCTCATTACCTTCAGTAAGCTACCACTATGACTTATGAGTAAACTATTTATTAGCTTGGCCCGGCATGACCAGGTAGTTAGGGCACTCGACTCGCAATCTGAGGGTCGCAGGTTCGAATCCCCGTTACACCCAATATGCTCGCCCTTTCAGCCGTGGGGGCGTTATAATGTGACAGTCAATCCCACTATTCGTTGGTAAAAGAGTAGCCCAGGAGTTGGCGGTGGGTGGTGATGACTAGTTGCCTTCCCTCTAGTCATACACTGCTAAATTAGGGACGGCTAGCACAGATAGCCCTCGTGTAGCTTTGCGCGAAATTCAAAACAAACAAACAAACAATTTATTAGCTTGACAAGGTCTTGTAGCCTCATTTCGAACACTTACGAGTTCAGTTGACATAAAACGTTGAATATATATTTACGACAAGAACCGTCTTACATTCGTTTGGTTTTGGTTGTATAGTCTTTTCACTCACCACTAGTAACCTAAAATACTTTAGATGTTTGTATAATCTGTGACACATTGTCATAATTAATCATCCATTACTATTCAGCGGGATTAGCGAATCAAAGAATATATTACGCCTCCACGTCATCTTTTCACACTGAAATTCACGTTTTAGCGAAGAAAAGAAACTAACAAATAATATTGGTGAGGTTAGAGTATACTTTGCAGACACATCGTTCTATAAACTACCATAATTGTTTCAGAAATATCTCGTGATTAATTGTGCGTTTTGTTTCGTGGCATTTAGGATCCGTATAAAGAATAAATATTATTGGGGTGTTTGTGGTTTGTAGATTTACGGATTAGATTTCTTCTTAGTTCAAACTCAAAGCATAATGTTACTGGACGATTGTTTATTTGTTTGTTTGTTTTTGAATTTCGCGCAAAGCTACACGAGGGCTATCTGCGCTAGCCGTCCCTAATTTAGCAGTGTAAGACTAGAGGGAAGGCAGCTAGTCATCACCACCCACCGCCAACTCTTGGGCTACTCTTTTATCAAAGAATAGTGGGATTGACCGTCACATTATAACGCCCCCACGGCTGAAAGGACGAGCATGTTTGATAGGACGGGGATTCGAACCCGCGACCCTCAGATTGCGAGTCGAGCGCCTTATCCACCTGGCCATGTTATTGGACGAATATGTTCGTTTTAACCTTTTCAGACTTTCTATTAATCTCACCATTCATTACACTTGGCTCTTTTTCCCTACTAAAGACAGAGAAAGAAACCCGATCGAAAAAAATAATGTTATATATTTCGAGCAAAAAAGTAAAAGATTACAACAGACGAGGGAAATTGGAAGAAAATATGCGTAGAATAATTTATGAAAACGTATATCAAAATGTTTTATTTCATCGAAATCAAAATTCTACTAATTCCGAAAAGTATTTGTACCTGGTAGCGAATGAACTTACGGACATATAACACTAAAATAGCCCGACATGACCAAGTGGTTAGGGTGATTGACTCGCAATCTGAGGGTCGCGGGTTCGAATCCCGTCCCATCAAATATGCTCGCCCTTTCAGCCGTAGGGAGTTATAATGTGACGGTCAATCCCACTATTCGTTGGTAAAAGAGTAGCAGAAGAGTTAGCGGTAGGTGGTGATGACTAACTGCCTTCCTTCTAGTCTTTCACTGCTAAATTAAGGATGGCTAGCGCAGATAGCCTTCGTGTAGCTTTACGCGAAACTCAGACCAAACACTAAAATATAGGGTTCGATTACACTCGGTGGACAGAGCGCAGATAGACCATTGTGTGACTTTTCGCTAAGAAATAAATAAATGCCGAGTAGGTTTGATACCGAAGACTCGACTGTTAGCATTGAGTATTAAAGTTGTATCTTTAAAAGATGGCACAAAAGTAAGTAAGTAAAGTTGAGAAAATTAACAAAGATTTTCCACTATTACATGAGAGTGACTTAGATACATTTTTCCATTATCATTTGATAAACAAAATAATGATGGGTAAAATTGCGAAGACAGATGGCGATGTGCGCAGAGTTTATTTATTGATTTGGTAGAAATGTATTAACTGTAGAATATTAATGGAATAATGAAAATCGTTATACTAGAAATTATTTCAAATGTTTACCTCGTACGATGTCTTTATACATTGAACATGTTTTCAGTGCTGTGAGCTGTTTTAATGGCTTTTGGCGCGCACGAAGTTCATACACAAGTGGTACGTTTTTGTAAAATAAAAAGCAAAGAGATAACCCACAAAATACTATTCAGTTGATTATAAAATGGCAAGGGTTGTTTAAATTAATTCAAGTGTTAAAAACTGTGTTTCGATTAAGTCCTGTCGCAAGGTTGCAATAACTAGAAATATTGCCAGGGTAGAGTTTCACTTTATTTTAATCCTATCTGACAAAATTTGAAAAAAAATCTATCTTAAAACTGGACCGCAAAGTAACGTGAATTAAACTTTACAAGGTTTTGAAAACCTTCGTATCTTCACGTACTCAAAAACAGAAGATATATAAAGAAGGTTTGTCTGCTGTATATCTGGTGTCACATGGTGGAATTGAAAA